GAAACGACAGCTCATAATATTTCAGAGGTAGTACCAGTGGCTTCAGAGGCTCCAAACAACACGGTTTCTTGTGAAACAACTGGTCGTGGTCAACGAGCAAGAGTCCCGTCAGTAAAGCTCAAGGACTATGTCACATTAAATGATGTTAGTCTTAAAGACCCCTCTCTCTCATCTCCCTGCTCTTCATCTTTGCCGTCCCGTAACGATCCATGTAAGACACCTTATCCTCTGAATGATTACGTGTCTGACCTAAAATTCTCTTTCTCCCATCAAGTCTTCTTAGCTTCTGTTACCGCTGGAGTTGAACCAAGATCGTATTCAGAAGCTATTAAAGATAAAGTATGGAGAGACTCTATGAAACTTGAAATAAACGCACACGAAGAATTTGGCACATGGGATTTGGCAACTCTTCCTCCTGGCAAACGAGCCATTGCGTCAAAGTGGGTACATCGCATCAAATACAACGCTGATGGTACTATTGAACATCACAAATCGCGATTTGTAGGCTGTGGAAATAAACAAGTTGCAGGTGATGATTATGGAGAGACATTTTCTCCTGTTGTTAAGATGGCGACCATTCGAAGCTTGCTAAGTCTTGTTGCAGCAAAAGATTGGGAAGTTCATCAAATGGACGTACACAATGCTTTCCTACACGGTGATCTCGATGAAGAGGTCTATATGCGCTTAGCTCCTGGCTTTACTCACTCTGATCCACGCAAAGTTTGTAGACTTCGTAAAGCTATAAATGGTTTGAAGCAAGCCCCACGTTGCTGGTTTGCTAAGCTATCAAATGAACTAATCAAGTTTGGTTTTGTGAAAGCTCATTCAGACTATTCATTATTTACATACACCAAGGAGCAAAAGAAGTTCGTGTTCTGGTATATGTCGACGATTTGGTTATCGCAAGTAACGATCTTGAGTTACTAAATAAGTTTAATACCTATCTTGGTGAGTGCTTCCGTATGAAGGACCTAGGAAAATTAAAATATTTTTTGGGTATTGAAGTTGCTAGAGCAGATGAGGGAATCTTTCTTTCTCAACGTAAATATACGTTGGATATAGTTGCGGATTGTGGCTTACTTGGTGCTAAACCGGTATTTGTACCAGTTGAGCAGAATCATCACTTAGCGGATGATAAAGGACCATTGTTCTCAGACCCAAAGAAATAAAAACGCCTAGTAGGAAGTCGTGTGTAATTATCTATTACGCGTCCAGAATTGTGTTATGTGATCCATTTGTTATCTCAGTTCATGAAGTCACCATGCGTTGTTCACTGAGAAGCTGCTCTTCGTGTGGTCCGATTCCTTACAGGATATGTTCAGGACAGGGTATACTGTTGCGATCAGACAGCTCTCTTGAGCTTTCAGTCTATGTGGATGCAGACTGGAGTACTTGTCCTCTTACTCGTCGTTCTTTAAGTGCCTACGTTGTGCTCCTTGGAGGGAATCCAATTTCATGGAAAACTAAAAGCAGAAAACAGTCTCTCACTCTTCCGCTGAAGCAGAATACCGAGCAATGGCTGCAGCAACTAAAGAGTTAAAATGGATTGTTCCTTTGATGAAATAACTTGGTATTAAAGTTGATAAACCAGTTCTTTTCTATTGTGATAGCAAAGCAGCAATTCATATTGTAGAAAATCCAATTTTTCACGAGCGTACAAAGCATATTGAGAGAGATTGTCGTTGTGTTCGTGATGCAGTTAAAGCTCGTCTGATTTCTACTACACATGTCAGTACTAAAGATCAAATAGCCGGCATTCTTACTAAAGCTCTCGGGCGTTCACAGTTTGAGTTTCTATCTTCCAAGTCGGCTGTTCAAGATCTTTATACTCTAACTTGAGGGGGAGTATTAGGGAATCCTATTTTGATAAGGATTACCTATTGATAAGCCTTATTGATAAGTCTTATTGTGTTAATGATTTACTTATGTCTTAGAGATAAATACGAGTAGAAGTAGGAGATTATAGTCGGTCATTACTCATGTATATAAGCTGATGCAATATGTTCAAGCAATACAAGTTAAAAGTTTATCATTCAATCTCTACTTTACATAAATCAAAGAAGCTAGTTACATATGGGTAACCAGCCGTTGAGTCATCCCAGTAATAATCTCTGGGACCTGATAAATCCTCGAAGTTAAATCCATATGGCTGACCAGCGGTCGAGTCATCCGGGCGTTTCAACTCTTTGATCCTCTCGGAACATCTCTTCTCCAGATCCCCTTCAAGTCTTATGTTGAAACACTTACGTAGATCAAGGTGTTCCAGGTGAGGACAACCATCAAGAATGGCGGTCAAACCCGTGTTTGTAAGTATGTTCCCAAAGAGCTTGAGGTGGCGTAGCTTGGGCATACTTTCAGCAATCCCTAGAGCTTCTTTGTTGTTACACTCTTCGTCATAAAACTTGGGGTCAGGTTCGGAGTTTAGCCTCAGTGTCTTCAGGTTCGGACAAGACTGTCCTGCAACTTTCAGAGACTCTCCTGACAGTGAGCCATATGTAACTTCGAGGTATTCAAGCAATGGCAACTTCGCAACTGCTTCCACAAACCCCTCATCTGCTATTGGATAGCACATTAAAAGTGTAAGGCTTTTCAACTATGAAACACAAAGTGTAAAATGGCTTGGAAGGATTGTTGTAAACCAAAGGATGAAGGAGGTTTGGGTCTGCAATCTCTTAGTGAAGCAAACAAAGTTTCAAGTCTGAAGTTAATCTGGAAAATAAACTCATCTCGCTCGTCTCTGTGGGTGCAATGGGTGAATATGTATCTCATTAGAAAAGATTCGTTTTGGTCAGTTAAAGAAACCTCCTCCCTTGGTTCTTGGATATGGAAGAAATTGCTGAAATATCGTGATATTGCGAAGGGATTTTTAAAAACAGAGATTCAAAATGGGGAGACAACTTCTTTCTGGTTTGATAAATGGACTCCGGAGGGAAGATTCTTTGACATTACGGGAAGGAGAGGATGCATAGACTTGGGAATACCTTTGGATGCGACAGTAGAAGCTGCTGTGAGATTATATCGCCCACGACGACACCGAGTGGAGATACTAAATACTATTGCAAATCACATTCTGGGTATCAGAGAAAAAGGGTTATCAGACAGAGCTGACATCAGGTTATGGAGAAGAGGAGAGGATAAGTACAAGGCCACTTTCAGTTCCAAAGAAACTTGGAAACTAATTAAAGAGGCCCAACCGAAAGTAAATTGGATTCATGGGGTCTGGTTCAGTTTCAACACTCCTAAATATCCTTTCATGGTTTGGCTAGCTATCCTTGACAGGCTAGCAACTGGTGAACGAATAAGGCAGTGGAACACCCACAGCACAAGCTCGTGCATATTCTGTAATGACCCTATGGAAACTAGGGATCACCTCTTTTTCAAATGTTAATACTCAGAAACGGTGTGGAAAGGGCTCACACAGAACTTGCTAACCACGCGCTACACAAGTCAGTGGACCCAAATTCTTCAGCTTCTTCTTGATAGGAAGCAAGATCGGATAGACACTTTCATCTTTAGATATGTCTTCCAAGCTACTTTGTATGTAATTTGGCGAGAACGCAACAAAAGGAAACATGGGGAACCACCGATGACGCCATCTCAGCTGATCGGAGTGGTTGACAAGAACATACGAAACAGACTAATCTCCATACGTGGTCATCACGCTCATGAAGGAGGACTTGTTCGTTGGTTTGCCACAAGAGAATAAGAGCTTTACAGTTTCTAGTTCTTGTAGTATAAAAAAATTAAAACTATGAAACACAAAGTGTAAAACAGTTTTTTTGGTTGAATTAATTTAACATTCTTCCAAAAAAAAAAAAGTAAGGCTTTTCAGATTAACTTGACCTACAAGTATTTAAAGCAGGCACTTCAAACCACGCAAACTAGTAAGACCTTTCATACATAAACCCTAGAAATGCGAGAGACAGAACCTGTCGGATATGTAATTGAGTAGCTCATCAGTACCGAAGAACCACAAGTCGATCTCAAGTAAACAGCCTTGGCTACGATCAACTGCGACACATTATCTCGAGGTCGTACTCCAAGTATCCGTCGTTGTACACATTATCACTGTTTTAAAATAATATTATTGGCCTAGGGTTATAACTACAAAGGCAATCATGTTTCACAAGTTGTGTTAATTTAAGCTGAACCAAAAAGCGGCCCACTTTTTTAAAGAGAGTTTGTGACTTGTTACTTGTTGACATTTTGGTATTTGGTATTTGATAAAGACGGAGAGGAGTTTCCTGTTGAAGTCCCTATTGGAGTGTCTGTGCTTAAAGCTGCTCATGTGATTGTGATCGTGATGGTGAGACCATGATTATCCCGAGTTTCTTAAGACAGTTTCTTAGGAGAATATAAGAAACTGTTTCTTAACTTTTAACTAAAAAGTTAAAAAATGTTTCTTAAAGTAGTATTTTAAAAAACAGTTCATAAATTTTCCTAAGAATAGGATAATCATGCTCTAAACATATCTCCTCCATTATTAATAATAACAGATCTGAAACCAGGATTTTGCTTGATCTTGCTATCGGGATCACAGAAACGTAAGCTTTCTCTCTTAATCATATAAACAAAAAGAAAAGATACGTATCTCATGTTACTAGACACAAAAAAAGGTTTCAGATAACGACTGGGATGCCAAGTGATTGCAAAACCAGAGCTTGATGGTGTGCGTTTGGCCACTCCTTAAACCATAAGGAACTTTGCTGTTGATGGTTTTGTTCAAAAACATCATTAGTTTTCTCAGAGACTCCTCTGATAACTACAGTACAAAACAAATTCAACCTGAAGCAGTACAGAACAACAGAGATAACTGTTGATGGTTGTTTACTGAGAGAAAACAACGCTAGTATTTCATAATCTTGCCTCTTAACTTTGCGTTTCTTATCGGTCTGATTTTTGAACAGAAAAAGATTTAAACAATTTTTTTATGAACGACGCTAACAGGCAGAAGGCTTTATTTCTTTAATAATAATGCAGAATAAACTCACAAACTTTTCTTAATAATAAACATCGTCATTGTCATACGGATCGTAGTCAAAACAGTCACTGTCACTTGAGAAGTGATGGTAAGGATCTTTAGATGTTTCCATGCGGATAACAGTCACATTGTATGGGTAATCATCAGTCGAGTCATCAGGTCGTCTCAAAACTTTGATCCTCTCGGTACAACGCTCCTCCAGACCCCAGATAAAGGTAACGTTGAGACACTGACGTAAATCAAGATGTTGCAGGTTAGGACAATTATCAAGAATGGCGGTTAAACCAGTGTATGTTAATTTGTTTCCGAAAAGCTGGAGGTGTGTAAGTCCAGGCATTGTTTCAGCGATTGCTAGAGCATCATCGTCACTCACGTATACAAAACGCTGTAGTACCTCGCGGTTTAGCTTCAGTGTCTTCAGATTAGGACAAGACTGGCCTACAACTTTCAGAGACTCTGCGGACAAGGAGCAGTATGAGACCTCGAGTTCTTCAAGCAATGGAAGCTTCACAAGTGCTTCAGTAAGTCCTTCAGATGTTATCGTAATGCACATTGCTAGGTTAAGGCTTCTCAGGTTACTTGAGCTGCAAGTAATTTGCGTGTAACAGTTAAAAGACTGAAGGAAAATAAGAGACTCAGAACGATGAGATGCAAATAACTAACAAAGATCTTTGCCTAGCAACATGTGACCTATTGGTTTTGAACATGGAGGGAGAGAGATAACCTATCGGCGATGTAGTTTATGAGAGAATCAGTACCGATATAACAAATGTCAGTCTCAACCAAACCTCCCTGGCTACGATCGACTGCGTGACGGCACATTGCCACGTGTTTGTGTCTGTCCTTGTATGACAACTTTCCTAGGTTACGCATGTCAATCTTCAGCCACATGGCAGGGTCTTTGCAGACTCGACGCCATGATGTACACACTTTCTGAGCGTTTTCCATAATGTCAATGCAGTCGAGCCTGCCAAGGATCGATGCCGTTAATTTAGACGGAAGCTCCGCCCAGTTTCTACCCTCTCCGTCTTTCACCACCGGAGTCATAGACGAATACGACGGTGAAGAGGAAGAAGCCATTTTTGTCTGATGATCTCAAGTTGTCTCAAGTCCATTATATAAAAAGAGTGAAGTAGTTTCAAGTTCCAAGACTTTTCTTTGTAGACATCACTCAATGACCATATGGTCCCAAGGAAGATGACAACAGCGTAGAGGAAGAGACCATTTTCCCTGTGCGGTCAAATTGCCTCACATTCATTAAATAAGTGGGTAAAGCAGTTTCAACTTTCAAAGACTTTTCGTATATATGTAACTTAAAATACCATATATTCATGGTATTACGGTAATACTAATATTATTACATAATTTAAAGCAACATAACATTAGGGCTCGGTGGCATGTTTAACCTTCAAATCAAGATAACATATTTCTAATACACATACTGCCCGTGGAATATAGCCAGATATCAAAGATTTAGTCGAAGAAACATGAAATAATCACACACAACAAGTGTAATTATTATCACACACAAAGTTTATTGATACAAGGAACAACTAATATATTTTCCAAGCATACCAATAACCTCAAGCGAACCATTTGTACACCTCCAAAAATCCAACCAAAGTTGTTAGCAGTCAAACCTATTAGTTAAGAACACTTGATTAGCAAGTAGCAATACTACAGGTTCAACAAATTGATTGCTCACTAGCAATGCAAACATTCCCGAGGACGAGTAACTCAACGTTCAAAAGTGCATTCATCAGAAGAAATCCAATAAGACGGTTTAACACAAGTCCTTTCTATCCAATGAAAAAAGAAAAGTATCACCCATTGTTATCGCCAGTTAAAGCCCCGCGCTCAAAGCTGGTCCACAAAGTTCAAAACGAGATGAAAGACTACGAAACATAGGAAAAAACAAGCCCTTAAGTTGACAAGACAAGCAAAAACCACATGTGCCTCTGCATTGTACAGTATCTAGTAGACTTACTAGAACTCATCCCAATAATAGCCTCTGGGACCTGATAAATCCTCGATGTTAAATCCATATGGGTGACCAGCGGTTGAGTCATCCGGGCGTTTCAACTCTTTGATCCTCTCGGAACATCTCTTCTCCAGATCCCCTTCAAGTCTTATGTTGAAACACTTGCGTAAATCAAGGTGTTCCAGAAGTGGACAACCATCAAGAATGGCGGTCAAGCCCGTGTTGGTAAGTATGTTCCCAAAGAGCTGGAGGTGGCGTAGTTCGGGCATACTTTCCGCAATCCCTAGAGCTTCTTCGTCATTACACTCTTCGTCATAAAACTTGGGGTCAGGTTCGGAGTTTAGCCTCAATGTCTTCAGGTTCGGACAAGACTGTCCTGCAACTTTCAGAGACTCTCCTGACAATGATCCGTATGTAATCTCGAGGTATTCAAGCAATGGCAGCTTCGCAACTGCTTCTACAAATCCCTCGTCTGCTATTGGATAGCACATTATCAGTCTAAGGCTTCTCAGATTACTTGACCTACAATAAATTAAAGCAGGCACTACATTATGACTCTTAAGGCTTTTCATATTACTTGACGTGCAAGTAACTAAAGCAAGCAGTTCCAATCACTAAAACTAGTAAGATCTTGCATACATAAACCCTAAAAACGAGAGAGGGTACGATCAACTGAGTGACGACACATGATCTCGAGGTCGTAACCCATGCTTCCCAAGTCTCCGAGATTGTCCATATCAATCTTGCGCCACATGGCAGGGTCTTTGCAGACTCGACGCCACGATCTGCACACTTTCTGAGCATTTTCCAGAATCTCAGTCGAGTTAAGACGAAGCAGGATCGATGAAATCAGTTCCGGCGGAAGCTCCGCCCAGTTTCTCGGCTCTTCGCGTTTCATCAGCTGAGACATGGAAGCAGACGGCGGCGGAGAACAGGCAGGAAGAAGAAGCCATTTCTATTTTTAGTTACGGTTTTGTCCTCGGAGAAACATTTAATAACAAAGCCCACCACTGTTTAAAATTAAGGGCTTATTTGTGTAGTAGCCATATTTGGTAGTGAAATTAGGTAGATAGCAATGATTTTGACATAATGAAAAATCTAACATTTTCATCCCAAATTATCCGGTTATACCCTTTTCTTTCTCAGTTACCCGGTAAACAAATATGTCTGATACGTAGAAGAAATAACATATGGCCAGAAGTGACTGAAAACTATTATATATTAAAGAAGAATAAGACACCACGTTACACATTTATTAGCTTCATACAAATGCACAAAATATTCTATTCCATATCACTAAAATAGTATGAGATTCAAGTCTTACCCATAATCCATAAATACTAAACACTACTTCAGTCTCATATTTATTCACTATATGAAGTAAAATAAACCCTAATCCAAAATATTCTATGCCAGTAAATAAGTAACATATGCAATTAGAATTGTACCATCTGATATAATATAGAATTTAAATATGTGGAATAGAACATATGATCAGGCGGAATGGAAAGCGAATAGTATATTATTTCTGACATAGTATGACCTACAAGTATCAAACCCTACTCAACATAATAAATACTAAAACCTAAGAAAAACCCTTGATTACTAAATCTAGACCCTAATAACTGATCAATAAACCCAAACATAATTCATGTAACGCGTGGAAGATAAACTCACGAAACGCGTGGAAGAAATTTATTCAACATATATAATGTGTTTTTCATTTTGTATGAGTATATGGAACATAAAAGGTGAAAAACAAACTATTCTATCTAGATTGCACATATACTATTTTATTTATGTGACATAGTACATCACTCAAACCGTTATTGAGAACTAACATATAAAACCAACCACAACACCTAAATAATATACCCAAATCTCTATTTATTAAATCTAAACCCTATATTCTAATCACTAAACCCTAACTTCAATTATCCCCTTCCCTTTCTAAATACTAAACCCTAAATGCTAATCACTAATTCATAACCCAAATATAAATTTTAAACCAAATATAAACCATAATCATTAAACCCTAAATTCAAATATAAATCTTAAACCCAAATATAAACCCTAAACCTAAACAGAATGAAACTATATAAATAGCATAGTACATGTTGGAGAAAAGACTAGTATGGAAGCTCATACCTTATAACTAGGGTTTAGTTTTGATCAATACACATAAATTAAGATTCATAACAATGATAAAATAACAAACATAATTTATGCTTATGGATTGTACATTCATATTTCTATTCTATATTCTGCAAATAGAATAGTATACAATAAATAGTAAAGATCAAATATTTCATTTTACATGAATGGTCTTTCCATTTTACGTATACATGATCTATTCAACTTATATATACATTGCGTCATTATTGTCATTTCCAAATTAATGGGGATTGATTAATAAGTATGTACAAACAGTTAATTCGTAGAAAGATCACAAGAATATATAACAAATGTTTATTTATTATATAATACATTTCTATTCGAGTGCGCCAAATAGAATAGAACAAAATAAATAATAAATTACAAATAAAACGACTATAGATGGAACTGATGGAGTAGTGTAGAAAGAAAAACGAGGAGAAGGTGAGGAACCATGGGGAGCAGTGGTGATGGAGAGAAGCTTGTGATGGCAATGAAATAACCGTTGGTAGTGGTGGTGATGGCAGTATTACCTATGAAATAATAACAATATAGTACATATAACGTTTCATTTCTATTCTATGTGAATAATATAAAATAGAATAGAAAACATGGAATGAAATGGATTCAGAGCATTGTCCGCCTTAGTGGAAACCTCATCAACAATGTAATGCACTAGGTATGCAATTGACCAAACAGTATATAGATAATGAAAGGACTATGTAGAGTCGTATTTCATTCTATCGTGGATGGAGTAGCTCAAAAGAACAATATACTATATCTCTCCATAAGTATAGATATCAGGAGTACCGTTACCCATGTAAGCCGTACTATGTTATATGTATTCCATTCTATCAAAGATGGAGTAGACTACAAGACAATGTACTCTACATGTTAAAGTATAGAACTCAACACTAGCTCAACCCACAGAATAACTATGGATGATACTAAACTGTCGTTCTATGTCAATTCCGTTCTATTCTATCTCTAGTAAATTGTTTTTTAAATTGTGTATGTTGGCTAATAAACGTAAATCTCATATCAAAATTCTTCCATAAACTAAACCATAACAGTCATAACTAAACCCTAAAATATAGTATTAACCCAAATACATATATCATAATACACGCAAATGTCAGATCATAAAGCGTCCATAAACTAACCCAAACGGGGATAACTAAACCCTAAAATAAACTATTAACCCTAATACATATATCATAATATGGCGACATTAGTTAATATCAAGTGTAATCAAAAGAAATAAGCCATTAAAATAAATGTAAACAGTAATCAATACACCATTCAAGAAACTATAAACTAAACCAAAAGAGTGATAAATAAAACGTATAACATACATTAACCCCTAATACACACAAATGTCAGATCATAAAGCGTCCATAAACTAACCCAAAAGGGGATAACTAAACCCTAAAATAAACTATTAACCCTAATACATATATCATAATATGGCGACATTAGTTAATAGCAAGTGTAATCAAAATAAATAAGCCATTAAAGTAAACGTAAACAGTAATCAGTACACCATTCAAGAAACTATAAACCATAATTCATATATCATAATATACGCACACTTCATAACACTGATGTAACTAAACTAAGCAAGTTGGCAAAGTGGAAGATATGTTGATTCAGATTCCATTCTATCTCTATATCATAATTCAATTCCATTCTATATACTTCATGTTCCATTCTATGGGGTTGGAGTAGCTTTAAAAAGAGTATACTATTTAACATAAAATATACATAGAGTGAGGTCTTTTACGCATAGAATAGTAGTTGTGTAGAACGGAGAATAAACCAAATGTCAATCTTAAATCATTCATAAACTAAACCAAAACACATAAACCATAAAACAAAGTCTTAACATTAATACATATACCATAATATGCCCTTAGTAGTTAAACTAAAAACATAGTAATTATTCTTTTCCATTTGGCATGGAATGGATAAAGATACATAACATAGAAAATCTTGGCCATTTTCCGGGAAATTAATAACATGAGAAAATTAGTTCAAATCCGAAATTAAATAGATAACATAGAATGTCGGAGTGATATAACATAGAAAATACCATCATTGTCTGCTATTGTTCGTAAATATATATGGCGCAAGCAGCAATATATTCCATTGGGTGTGGAATGGAATTTGAGATAGCATAGAACATTTTGACAAATTAAGAAAGAACATTTTAACCAATCGTTTTGAAAAAGTAGACGACAATTTCAGTAACAGATCGATGAATCTAGTAGGCGAAGGTTGTAGATTTAAGAAACCATAAACCCTAATTCGAAATAGAAAGTAGTAATTGAACTGAAAATCAGACGACCTAAAGTCAAGAAACCGGAGAAATCACCTTGACAGAGAAGATCGTAGAAGAATAGAGAATAGAAAGTATAGTTGAGAAGAGGGTGAGGGATGCGGAGTAGAGAGGGAGGACTTCTTCTGGATTGATGAACCGGAGTAGATGCCGAAAGCGATTTCGACGACGGAGGTAACAAAATCAGGGAGACGGAGGCGGAATCGACGGGGTCAGAGTAGGTTTGTGTGGAGATATTTCACCGTCTGGGGAGTTACTGGGATATGTGAAAAAGGGGTGGAGGATGGTTAGACACGATTTACAGTTTATGCTCGAGTAAATTAAAATAATTTAATTTATTTTAGCCGGTGAAACCAGTTTAGGATAGGGATAATATGGCCATATTATAGAAAGCAAACGGCGTGACTTGATCTGTTAGGGTTTTTGGCTAGTAGGCTAAATATGGGTTTTTGTTTGGCTATTAAGCCCAATTTCCCTAAAATTAATACTATAGGCATGGAGTCCTGGCCATAGTTACTAAGAGCATCTCCAATATATTATTCCATATTTTACTTCAAAATGGTGTAACTTCAAAATGGAGTAAGAGTTAGACTCCAATGTATTATTCCATTTTTACTCTAAAAACAATTAATAATTGTTAATAATACCTTATATCTATAAAATTTTACCAATTAATTCCAACTATTTTATGTTTATCAAAATACCTTAAAATATAATTTATTTAAATTAAATATTATTATTAAAAAAGTACAAGAGATCAGAAAATTAAAATAAAACACAATATAATTTGATTCAATAATTAGCATTAGAATATTTTTCCCACCAATGATCAACTAATGCATTTCGTAATAAAAATGAGCTGTGGACAATAATTCACCGGTCTTAACGGATCCGGAAGTTATTTATTTAAATTTCTTATTGTATTTTATTTTATTTAATATTATTTATGTTTTTAATTATGCTATGTATTTTTGTGTTAAATTATAAAATAATGAAATATCATGTTTTTCATGTTATTGTATTGTTAAAA